TATGTACAGGAAGCCACCCTTAACAATGAGTTTTTTATCTCCTTCTCTCTCTCTCTCTCTCTATATATATATATATATATATGTATAAAATTTTATTTGAGTTGTATTTAATGAGGCTAATTTGACAAGTTTGCTGTAGCTAATGGCCTACAGGTGGAGTTCAAGGAAAAAACTCCTCTTGGAAAACAAAAGTATTAGACCATCGTTATGTTCCCACCTTAATTCTAAACTGTTATAATTCCATAATATCCTCTAGAGAACAACAAAGGCAGAGATTCTCCAAGTAATTAGGAGGAATTTTTAAAACACCCCAATTACTTGTCAAGATTTATGGGCTGGGAGTGTGGCTCAGTGGTAAAATGCTCTCTAATTTATAAGGGCAAAGTCCTGGGTTTAATCTCCAGCACCACCAAAAATAAATAAATTTAGGATAAGTTTGGAATTAATGGGCTCGGTCACAATGCCTTCACTAAGTAAACAATAAACATTTGTGGAATTAAATGATATTGACAATTACAAAATATTCAGAGAATTGTTTCAACTTACAAAATTTTGAATCACTTTCTAATTTGATGTTAGAAAAATCAAAGGCCAGGGATGACACTGCTCATGAGCTATTCACAAGTTAAAAACAAACCTGCAAGGAAACCTTCAGCATCTTGATTTTTAAAAGGAGTTTAAAACTTAAAGAACTAGTGAAATGAAATAACAGCTTAGCTCCAGATAAACCTGACTCTGGATACGTCCTGAATCCCGTGGATCTCTTGACTTATTTACCCATAGAATGGGAACAAGAGAAGCAGTTCTGAGTAACTGCTAATAAAACCCTATTTGCCTCTGGCAGAAATACAAGTTTTAGTTGATACTGATCATTTTCCCAGACCCCGATTTACACCCACATTCCAGTGCCAAACACCCTAAGCTTCCGAGACCCTGTGTGCTGTGGTCTCTGACTGAAAGACCAAAGCCACAGTGGAGACTCGGGGATCACTTCTTGAAGCAGCAGCCGCTCCCTAACTCCGGGAGAAGTCACCTACAGGTCGGCACCTCACTTAATTTTTCACCGAGGCGACACACAGTCTTTGTGATAAAATGAACCCAAGGACAACACCCCAAAGAACTTGTTTCTCTTGGACCCACCAAAGAATAAAATGTTCTCAATGCTACCTCTTAAAATAATTATGCTTCTCCAAATGTTCCTTTTAATTGGCTGGTTGACTGTCTCCGGGCGTGATCACGCATACTTATCTCTGGTGCATAACCAAAGTGGAACAGTCTCTCGGATTTCTGAGAATCCTAATGAGGATGGTGGTGTAGAAAGAGCACTGAAACTATGTAGAAGCAAGGATGTGATCCCGGCCCTTTGCAAAAAGCAATCTTCCACTTGGGGAGGTTGACGTGTGTGACCCCTGCCAGCTCAAAAGCTCATTGCTAGCTCTATAGGACTGACCACTGGAGGAAATGGGGAGACTCTACAGAATCATTCTGCCAGAAACAGAGAAAAGGGCCTATAGGTTTTAGTGCTGGAAAAATATCCCAAATTGCAAAAATAATTAAATATCTATATTCCTCCCCCCGGCCCCAATACATAGTGTAAATCTGGGTTCTAAGCATAAATAACTACAATCAGTTATAAATAACTAGCGTCATAGGACTGTTTGTCAGTGTCTTCATCCGAAAACCATCAAGGTGAATTATTACTACATTCTTGTTTCTGTGAAGTAAGTTACCCATTGTTTTTCCAAATTTAGAAAATCTATTTCTCAAGAGTAAACCTAAAGGCAGAGCCTTCAAAAATAATAGTCCCGCTATCTCTGCAATCTACACCATCCTGAAAAGCCAGCTTCATGCAAGTGATTTTCCCACCATAAAACATTTAATCACAACCAGAAAAAGATAATAATCAAACCTAAAATTAAATAGTATTTATGATATCATAAAAGGTACCTCAGTTGGGGCCCCTTCTATCACACTGTCATTTGAATGTTTACGAGAGACAATTACTGATTTCTAAATGGCAATATATTTCCATTCTGAGTGGAGATTACCGAATGGGATTTTAAAATATGATCAACATATCATATACTAAATTTAGGAGACTTTCTTCAGGCTGTCTTTCAAATTTTATTTTAAATTTAATGATAAACTTTCCTTAAGTTTGGCTTAGAAGAAGAGGGTTCCCTTACCAAATATATACTAACGTGATTTAAGAGATCTATTGAGAAATTTAGAGACAGTTTTCTAGGACCAAAATTACTGTTTTTTATACTAAGGGTCTGTTAAACAATAATTTTCCATCAAGACTAAAGTGTTTAATAATCACTATCAGGTGATTATCTGCCTAGCCAAAAATACTTTCATTTCTCTGTTTACTTGAACACAATAAAGGCTCTTCTGCCTGAGGAAATTCAGTACCATAAATTGACGGTTGGATTACTAAATTTAAACATGAACTGCTTAATTATATAGAGATTTCCTAACTTCTGCTACTGCTTTTCTATCCTTTATGTGCCTACTATTGTACACACTGGCAATTCTTTTAACTGAGGAATTTTTTGTTCTTTTAAAAAGTTCTTTACTCTCCTTTCCCTGAAAATATTTACTTCTTTTGCAGTTAACTAACTTTAAGCCAGCAAACAAACAAAAATAAAATGAGAAAATTCATAACTTTAGTTCTAATTATGCGTTTCACTTCATTTGAACTTTTTAGACTCTGGTTGTACCGGAAGTGCTAAACACTTATGTCTATTTGAAAAGAAAAGTCAGTTTTGTTTATGGATGTCAGCAAATTATTGTCATTAGTTTTATAATTTTTGAAAAGATTACTTTCATCCGTCCTAAGATTTCTGATCCTCAATTTAACTGTTAAAAGCAACCAAAGTACTTTGAAAGTCTGGAATTTACAAAATCCCTGAGAAGTCACTAATGGGATTCCCATGATCTAATACATGTAAGGCTTTAACTGTAATCGTAAACCCACTGAAGGCTTACGATTTGAAAGTATGAACGATTGTAGCCAGTTTTTATGAGTTTAATTCCACTAGCAAATCCTGGTTTCTATATTTTAACTCTCAACTAGAGCAAAATCACAACATTTTGAAAGGAATAATGTAAAAGGAGAAAGCACTGGAAAGCAGGGCAAGAAAATCATTGCCAGAAATCACCTTCTGTCACAAACCATCAATGAACTTCTAGAACACAAGACTGAACAAAACTTTAGCCTGCAATGTAGGTTAATTCACCTTAGGAACCGCCATACTACCTACGAATCTCTGTATCTTCTACTAATTTCCCACAAAACAGAACTTAGCCTAAGCTGGTTGTTATCTGAGGTTCTTTACTGTTGATTCTGGCATGTTTTCGTCCATGATCTAATTCTGTGACTTCAATAAACCAAAAAAAGCTGCCTCCAAATTAATACAAAGTCACTGAAAATTCTTCCAACACCAGGCCATGCACAGGTTCTGAAGAACCGTGTGTTGTGTCAGGAACCTTTGCAGTATGCAATAACTGGGCTGGGTGCACCGAAATTTGTGATTGAAACAAATCATCTCTTTCCCTCAAATAGATTTTAGTTATTATAGCAAATAGTTGTTCTCAAAAGCAAAATTTAGCCTACTTCTCCTAGTCAATATCAATGCAGACTATCTGTCCAAGGTGTCACAAATAGAAGACACACAAATGTAAAAACAATTTTAAAAATCAGTATTAAGGAAATCTATGATGATTCTCAAAATCCTTTGTTTCTTGTCTCATATAGTTCTTAGTTTGTAAAATTCACTATTACAAGGCTTGTTATGGGATATCAGGCCTGATTCTATCTTGCAGACAAACTATACATCAAAATATTAACAGTATTCATTTGACAACCAAACACATAAGAATAACTTGATTTTAAAATAATTTTACCATATGCATTGTTCATTTACTGATTATCCTATAAGGGTCATCAGTGAAACGAAGAAAAACTACGCGATTCCAAGCATTGTGTCCTAGAAGCTCTTAGGCTGACTAGCCCAAAAAGTCTTTCAAAATCGCTGCTGCCTCTTGACTGTGTTTTTTCGATGTAAGGATAATTTAATTTATTTCATGCCAACTGTACAACAAACAACCTCGCAGGCTCTTTTGGTTTGGAAGCACCGAATATTTGCTTTTAGTGGAAAGCCTGATCAATAACTTTCCTGAGAAAATTTGCTTCCAAAAAAAATTTTTTTGCTACGGTCACGTTTTCATAACTTAAATTCTGATGAAACTTAGAGCGCTTCTTAATGCAAGGTTCTTTTAAAATGCCTTTCGATTAATTTTCTACACAAACCTACAACTTTTTTTTCAATACACATATGAAGCTTTCTTTTCTACTGATCTCAGCTCTTGTAGAGAGGGGAACCGGACCCGTGCTACGTTTTTAGTTTTTATTATTGTTGGTTTTAGCCACTTGAACGCGGCCTGATCCCCTCCTCCGCACATGTCCCAAAGGCAACTGACTCCAAACTTCCCTAGGACATTTCAAGTAAACTTCGATGAATCCAGGACTGCTGTGAACCTCGGAACAAACTCGCAGAGAGGCATTAGGAGGTTGAAAAGCTAATTCAAGGGGACAGGCGGCGGGCGGGAAAGCCCGAGTTGAAACCCACAACCCCACTTCCTGAAACAAGGACTCAAGCGCTGAATCAGGTCAAGGATTTGAACTTTCTGACTCGAAACCACAGCGGGCGGGGAGGAGGAATCCACTTGGCGGCGCAGGACTGCGGGAGCGCCCCGCTGCAGGCCTGCGCTGCCCCAGCGCGATTTCCGATCGCGGCTTCCACACCTTGCCGGCCCTTCCCGCCAGGCTGCAGACCCTTTGCGATGCCCTCGCCGGGCAGTCTAGTGCCCGTGCCAGGGCGCGGAAAAGACTCCCTGCGCCTCTTCCACTCGCCCTCGGGTCGGAAAGCGAACCTACAGACACAGGCGCGAGGGCTCCTGGCGCACCCCACTCACCCCCTAGCGGAGCGTCTTACCCGTACAGGAATGCAGGGGCTTGGGTCGCACGACCAGCGACGGGCACACGGAGTAGAGGGAAAGTTTCTCAAAGTAGTCACAGGTCTCCTTGGACAGGATCTCGTCGATCATGAAAGTCTTGTAGCGCCGCCTGGCTGCTTTGAGCTGGCCGGGCGAGCTCAGCCGCAGTTCGGCGTGGCAGTGCATGGTGAGCCGGGACGGCCGAGCACCCGCCGCCCTGAGCGCGACTGCGAGGGCCCGGCCGGCGGGGACCGCGGGGGTTGGCGCGGGGCGGGGGCGTCAGCCCCGCTAGTCCGCAGCCAGACAGACTGCCCGGCTCCGGAGGCGCGCGGAGGGGAGCGGGCACGGGCGCGCCTGCTGCGCGGCTACACCCACCCGCAGATCAGCATCTTTGGCGAGCCTTTTTGGGACAAGTCAGCTGTCAATCAGCGTGCTCTTCCCGCAGGGCCAGGTGCGGAGTGCCAGGCGAGGGGCGTCGGCGCCCACCCCCGCCCCTGCCCGCCTGTGGGACCAAGGCGCTGACCTGAGCGGCTAGTGCCCAGTAACTCCCGTCTCCTCCCCCTTCTTGGTGTCTAGCGCTCCTCTGCCTGCCTCTCTATTTTAAGATACTTGCTTTGGCTCTCCTCCTCCACCCCACCCCCCTCAACTCCAGGTGTGTGCGCAGGGTGCGCGCGCGAGAGTGTGCGCGCAGTGCGGGCAACGCGCGCCGCCAGCGCTAGCAAACAGGGCCTCCGCCCGCTGCTTTTCCAGGCAGTCTCTAGTGCGCACCTTAGCCAGGGTCCTGCACCCACGCGGGCTGCGCTCTTGACACCTGCAATCTGCGGGTGGGTTCCTCTAGTACTCCCGCCAGAAAGAAGTAGAGTCGAGCCCCAGCGCAATCGTTCCCCTCCACCCCGGACAACTGAGGTCCTTTTTCGGTGTGGACCGTTTCCTGAGGACCGCGGCTTTGCCTCCCTCCAACCCCGGCTTGCAACCCCGAAACCCTCAGCGAGCTCGCGCGCTTTGGGCATGAGGTTTTTGCGCGAAGCTGAGGCTTGACTGTTGCATCACCCAACCTCAAACCATTAATGACCATGTGTCAGTCCCTTAAATCAGTAACAAAGTGCAAAAAAAGTACTGGACGCATCCATTCTTTTTACGTTTAAGCCTTATTTATAAAATATTTTGCCTCGCCGGAAGGGATAGGCACAACGCAATTCTAGGGTACCGCAGTGCCAGCGGGCTTCCAAGCAGCCAGCCCGAATCAGGCTTCCAGAGCGCGATCCTCCCGGCCCTGCGGCTTTCCATTCCAGAGTCCCGAGGCGCCATAGGGTTGGGTAGCCGCGAAGGCAGCTTTTTGGGTGGTTTCCTTTTTTCTGGTCGTAGCTTCAGATTGCGCCGCAGTTCCTATCTGTAAGAAGTTTTGTTTTCCATGGGTAATGGTTGGGTCTTCGACCTCCTAGCCCAGCCTCTGAGCCCCGACTGCCTGCGCCGCGCACCGCTATCGGCAGGAACCGTTGCGTTCGCGCCCGGTTCCACGATTTTGTCTCGAACTGGTGCGCGGGTCTGGAAAGAAAATGTACTTTAGGGAATAAGAATACAGAATTGCAGACACGGACAGTCGGTTAGATCTTCTTGCCTCTCGCATTCTGGAAGCAGCCGCGAGTCTTGGCGGGCTCTGCGGAGCTGCTGACCCGGGACCGGGTTAGCTGAGCGAGCAAGCCAAAGCGTGCACCTCGGCTGGCGGTTAAACTCAAAGGAAGGGGGACCCTTGGAGAAGTAGTGATCAGGGGCATATAAGGTCCAAGTATTAATAGATCAAGCCATCACCTATGGAACGTTAGACGTGGCCGGCAACCCGCAGTTGGAGACCTTCCCAAGTGTCAGAAAATGTCGTGGTTCCCCCGCTCCTCTCCATTTAGAATTGTTTTTATTCTCCAATCAGATGTGGGTCAAAGGCCCGCGAGAACAGCCACCAGGTGTCCCACCAGCGGCGCGCCTCTGGCTGCAGGGGCCCAGGGTTGCCCCTTGGAGCCTATGCCCAACCCTTGGTTGTGCCTTGGGGTCCAGCGGCCTGTTGCCTATCTAAGCTCTTCACCCCCGGCCTCTTCCCACTGAGCTCACGCGCAGCCACCCAACGCCACGTCTTGATCTTTGGCGCGAACGGAGCAGGAGACAGTTGCTCAAGAAGCCAGGGCTGCATCCCAGGGGCACAGCGTTTGCGCAGAGATCAGTCCTGGCGGCCCATGAGCTTTTATTGCCCCCAGGAAAGTGGGAGACTATCTCCACTTCAAAGAAACTGAGTGTCCATCAGGCTCTGAGAGCCTGGCTAAAGAAACTACGAGGCGTGCTGGGGCACAAGAGCCTACTACCTGAGTGACAGCAGGCACCCTGATGCCTGGCTGCCTGAAGAGGCGCTGAGCTGGCCCTGGAGTGCGCACCTCGGAGCGCGCCCCGGGGCACCCCGCGCCGGCTGTCTCAGTACTGTCCCCGACCTCCAGACTTTGCTATACCCTAGGCGCTTCCCATTTCTCTCACCACTGTCTCTCTCATTTCTCTTTCCTCTTCTTGTTCCCCCAGTTTCTTGGTTCTCTTTTCTTCCCCACTGTTTCTCTCTCTAAACTCTGGCCTTGCCCAGGCTCCCCACCTTCCCACTGCCCTGAGCTGGATGGCTGCGCCTCTGCCCTGCCTGCCAAGGTTGCAGGTCCCTCATGAGGACTGCGGGCCGGGGGCAGCGTCCAGCCTGGCCGGAGTGGGCCCGGTGCAGCCGTCCTCGGCCCTCTGCCCTGGGCTGCCTCTGCTCTTCTGGCTTCGTGGTCTCCAGCCTTCTTGTTCCTCCTCGCTTCAGCTCAACCATAGATGCAAAATGCACCCGTCCCCTCCGCAGATTTGATCTGAAGTATCTGGTGTTCTAATAACTCCAGAAGTCACACATTCCCATCAGCTTGCTGAATTTCCCACTTTTTCTATTTTCTACTACAGAGACAAGAAATCTCCTTGGGGTGGGGGATCCTGAGGATGCCCAGACCCAAAGTTGATGAAAGACTGCAGGTCTCCCAGTCTCAGGGGCTCTGCTGGTTCTAATCCGAGCTGGGCTCGGTTTTCCCTTGTAAATGGTAATCATCACTCCTCCTTCTCAAGGTTAGCCCTTCATAATCTGTGCCTTTATGGAGCATGTTCCTTGTCATTGGATTCCCTCCCTCCTTCAAGACCCAAAAGCTAGTTTGAGACCCATCTCCAGGGCCACCTCTGGGAAAGCGTCCCCCCTCCCCAAGGCTGTCCAGGGCTGCTTATATCTCTATCCTAGCATTTCTTGTATTGTAGTGTCCTTTTCACCCACTGGACAATGAGTTCCATAAGCCAATGCCTAGTGCAGGATTATTTTTCTTGTGTTACAGTTCCCGTGCAGCACCTGGCACATGGTCGATTCTCGGTAAACGTGTCCTGAATAAATGCATGAAAGCTGGGGAGACGAAATTATATAATGCATTTGATTGGACATCAAAGCTTAATTAGTTGTACTAAGTTTGTCTTTCTGTTTAAATGAGTCTCTCCTCTCTCCTTGATAATTTTGGGCTTTCAGCAATGGCATCTAGCCCGGTTCCCTTTTGGTTCTGAAGTCCTGCTTTTCACTCCCTCTTTGTGGCTCTCAGACTGCGAAGCACTTCTGTGAGACGCAGCACACTCCAGCTGTCAATCACAAAGTGGAACTTGGGTCAGAATAGTTAGGGGTTTTGTTTCCAACATTAATGAAGTGGCTGGAACAGCGAACATCTGCCAAAGGGGCTCAAACTTTTTCCAGCTGCTGGAGACCCACGGACACTTCCCAGCCTCCTGTGACTGTACCCGAGCAGTGTCTGGCCCTGCACCCACAGAGGAACACACACCGAGAGGAGGAGACAGTCTGCTCTGCTGCACTGGGCAGGCGTGGAAGGGGAGAAATATTCACACCCGTCAGGAGGTCAACCCCACCCCTCAGTCTGGCTCAGAATTTCTGAGGCCAAGCCACCAAGAGAAGGGGACGGACACCTTTGCAATGGTGGGGCCAGAGGCTCTGACAACCAAAATTTAAAGAATCCCTCTTTTGCATTTTCTCACACACTCAATAATGCCACTGGCCTAGAACTTATATTATTTTTTAAAAAATTTTATGAAGACACATTGATCACATCTATCCTGAGGAGTTGGTACATACGCATAAGCATTTTAATTCTTTTAATCTTCCTTACCCTCCCCGTCCTTTCCTTCCTTCTGTATCTGGATCCTCTACCTACTTGCAAAATATCTAACTGCTTCCTATTATCTATCTTTTATCTCACTTTATTAATTCTTTGGGTTTCTCATTTAAGTGAAGAATACTTGAAGTTTATTAAAACAAAATAGATTTTTTAAATCCTAGGATGACATTTAATTTGTATCTCCTATCTAACTCGGCTTTAACTATTCTTTTATCATACCGAGCTATGTGTTGATGTAAATACTCAGAAGCAGCCAGGATCTATCTCATATGTACACTAATTCATTTTCCAACCATCTCTTCTCTGAACGGTGCAGGGGAGCACTTCTTATATTCTAGTCAAGTGTATTTAATAACTTGCATTTCAGCTGCTAAGTTTTGAAATAGTTTCAGACATGTAAAAGCAAAATAGGGAAAGCTTTGTAAGTTAATATTCCCCTGGGCCCCAGGGCCATGCCAAAACTTCTTGCTGTCTGTGCAACCCAGCACGGCAGCCACGAATAACAAGTTAAAGGAGGTGTCTGAGGAGGCCAGCTTATTTTTAATGATGATATTAATTTACAAAAACTGCTTTCATACACTAGAATTTTTAAGAGAAGGCACAAATGCAAGCCACTTGACAAATGGGCTTGGGAAGAACTGACTACAGCCTTCTGTCTTTTCTCAAAATCCCTGTTTAGATTGAGGAAAAAAATAAGATAACGGCTGTATCTACAGAACACTGAACACTTGCATGATGACGGGGAAATCCGGGAAACCATACAGATATTTCTGAATTCTGAAAAGCTTGGCGTGCAGTTTCAGATCTGAGTATTATTTCTCTTTTTAAATTATGCTTTCTTAACATCCTCCAACCATGTTTCCATCCATACCCTGCTTCTTTCAATTATCTCAGTTGATGTAGCCAGGAAGAAAAACTTAGATCTCCTAACTGTACCATAATATTGTGAAAATAGATAAGCACATATGCAGAACCGTTGGTTTAGCCTCCCCCCCCCCTTACCCAATTCCCCTTTACTAGAGAGAAAGCTGCAGGAGGCGAGAAATATAGCTTAGACCTGATTAGGCGTATGGCTGTCTGGGGTAGCAAAATGAACCTCCGAGTACTGTAAACTTGTTCCAATTCTGGCCAAGTTACTGAATAATTCCCCAATGTCTGGTCCTCAGTCAGTTCCGGTTTGCAGGACAATTCCACAGGACATTGTACACAGCACTAAATCACGAGATGCCCGTCTCCTATCAGCTTCACTTTTCCAATAAAATAAGCAATGTGCTATCAAAAATTAATGCAGGTATAGAAAGCATAAGAGCCTACATCTGCTGTTTGCATACGTTTGGGGTTGGGTTTTCTCCAAGTTCAAAACACAGAA